TATTTTTCTAATATTTATTTACAAACAAAAAATTTATAAAATATTATTTAGAGTAATAGTTTAAATATTTTTTAATTACATAATCGAAGTTTTTAATTAGTGATTGCAATAAATCTCACGTTAAACTTAAATTATGTGATAAAAAAATGCCTAAACTATTTCTTCTAAGGGAGTTAGAGAAAACTAAGACAAGTCGAGGAAAGACAAACCTCCCTCGCAAAACCATATCCAAATTGAAGAAAATATTATTTTTTCAAAAAGGCAAAAAAAAATTTGAAATTATGATATCATCGTACACGTGGCTGAAAATGACAGGTTTTAGATAAATATAGGAGAACGGTGGACCAATAACGTTATCCTGCCACATGGCGTATTCACGCTGATGTGCAACAAAGACAAACCGTGTAATTTTGTGGATGACGTCATAACCCCTTCTGGATAGGATTTTGTCTTCTTCCTCCATAATCCAAAGATTTCACCCACCAACTTGCATTTTCCACTACATTGGGTTTAATTAAATTAAATTAAAATTAATTAATTAATTCATTAAATCATAAAGTTGTTAGTGAGAACAGCGGTGACGATAACTGGTGCGTAACACGGAATCAGTCCACAATGCGGGTGATGTAAAACGACGTCACCCACAATCCTGTGACGTACCACAACGCGTAACCACCGTTGACGTTAGAGTCTCCTCTTTTATCACCACCTCTTCTTTATATTCCCCCTCTCTCTTCCAGAATCTCTCAAATTCATCCTGAATCCAACACGCTGCCGTTTTGATAAAATCTCAATGCAAGAAGCCATCCCTTACCGTTCCACTAATCTTCCTCTTCTCGCCGGAAAATCTCCCTCGCCGACGCCGTCTTTGTTACCTCGGTCGCCAGCGCGTGAGTCACGTGACGTGGCGAAAATGGTGGAGGAGAATGCGGTGATTGTGTTCGGGAGACGTGGGTGCTGCATGTGCCATGTGGTGAGGAAACTGTTGTTAGGGCACGGGGTGAACCCGCCGGTTTTTGAGATTGGGGAAGACGGAGGGGAGACGATAATTCACGAGTTGTCGCGAGTTGGAGGGGATGATGATGGCGGTGGTAAGGGTGGAGTGATACAGTTACCGGCTGTTTTTGTGGAGGGAAGTTGTTGGGAGGGTTGGATAGGGTTATGTCTGCTCATATCTCTGGTGAATTGGTACCAATTTTGAAGAAAGCTGGAGCTTTGTGGCTGTAAATTATTATTTTTTTTAATTTTTTTTTTCTCTTCCTTCTTTTTTTTTTTTTTGCCCTTTTTATTTGAATTTTGTTCCTGTTATGTTGCGGGAATATACTAATTTCTTTTAGATTTTAATTTCATAAAATAAAAATGCTTATATAAATATAGTAAAAATAACATTATAATTTAAAATTAATTCTATGTTTAATTTCAATTAGATAGTTTTTAGTTTATTTTTTAATTGAGATTAATATAAATGTACGATTGTTCGAATTGAATCCACAAATAAGATTAATTTAATTACAGATAAAACGTCTAAATTGCAAAAAATGATTAAGTATTAGCATAAATTTTCTAATATTAGCATAAACTACCTGCATTTTGTGATTCAATTAATTATAAATTTAATTAAAACATACATAAAAATAGCAGAGAATTTATTTATAAGTTTAGTTAATTTGAAATTATATAAATAAAATTATTAATTAAAAAATTAAACCCTTATAGAACTTTGTTTAAAAATTAGAATGGTACATTCTAAAATTTGTAAAAATCGATAAAATTTAGAACACTTAATTTAATTTTAAATAAATTTTATATTAACACAAATTTAATATTTTAAATAAAATTTTATAATTTTCTAATTTGAATAAACTTATATTAATTTTAAATATAAAACAAGGCAAATATACAAAAATTGATTTAAAATGCTTCTGGTGGTTAAGAAAGACATTTTAATTGTCAAAGGTTTCGAGGCACGACTTTAACTTTCGGTGAGAAGTTCGAGGGAAGGTCAACTAGTGGGAAAGCCACCAGGAATTGAAGGTCAACTGAAATATAAATCCACTACTCTTCAAACATATATATATATATATATGTTTATAAAGAAGAAAAATATATGAGTTTGTGAATACTTGGCCAAGTTTACGGTCGGTTGTGTAAAAATTAATTTATTTCCACCATAGATTTTGTTAGAATAAGTTTGATTACTTGAAAGTTTTAATTTCAAGAACTAATCCCAAATCATATGTGGGTTTTGGTTAATTAATAAATTAGACTAAGATAAATTGATTTCTTATGAAAATTCAGTAACCCATAAGAGAATTATTCTAATTTAAATTTAATAGAATACTAAATAATTTATGATTAGTTTATCATGTTATGGAGATTGAAAATAGTTGATATAATATTTTACATAAATAGTTCTTCTATTCCACTTCCACAATAAATATGAACTTTAAATTGAGTATTTAAATTTTATTTTTCTCAAAAAATATATTTTGACTATAAAAAACTATGAAATGTTTATTAAGTAAGAACAAATACTAAAAGTCTAAAAGCTTTTTAGTCCTAAAAGCTTTTTAAGCTCAATGTATCTTTTATGAGCTTTTTAACATGTAGCTTTTATTATTTTTGATCACATTCTTTAAACAATATACCATTCTTCAAAATATTTAGTTCTAATATAACTCGATAAAAATTATAATATTAACAATTCAACTTAAAGGATTTCTAGGACAACGTTACTGTTCATAACCTCGTTAAAGACAATCAAGAAAATTGAGTGATTGGTTTTATATCAAATATAAAGCATCAGTGATGGTTGGTTTAATGAGCTTCATGGAGTTATAGAGGGGCTCAAGGTCACTTGGAACATGAATATCATGAAGTTCAATTTTCTCACATTCTTATTGAAGGCAACATCTCTGTGGACCAACTGGTCTCCTAGATTTACTATATACTTTACTAGAATAATATTCGGGTCTGAAATTTGGTTCGTGATAAAATTTTTTTATTTATAAAATATATATAATTAAAAATATTATTTTAATTTAATTTTATTAAATTTTTTTGAGAAAAATAAAGTAGAGACGAAATTGAAAGTAATTTTGCAAAACATGGGTGAAATTTTGAGTTCGGGAGTCTTTTAAAAAAAAATAAAAACAAGGGGTTAAAATATAAAAAGAGAAAATTCAGCCACGTAGGACGATACAGTCAGCAACCACGACAAACCAGAGCACGCTACGTGGCAAGAGATGCTGACATCGGCATCACGCGGGAGGTCATGTGGGCGATTCGCGTGCCCAGCGATCCGACGATCCAGATTAGTCTCACGAGTGTGAATGGCTCAAATGCATTCTCTCTTTAAGCGCAATCAGATGTACAAGATCAATCACGATGAGAGGTCCATATTCGCCCACGCAATCAGCCTAAATAGGTAACGATCAGACAACTCTCTTCACTCCATGTCGATGCGAATGGATGGTATAGATCAACGCAGAATATGTATATAAATATCGCGTCACAAGAGAACCCTAACCTTAGCCGCACCTGCCCTCGTCGGAAAAGAAGGATCGAGCGTCGCTGCACTGGAGCCACCGCTGACTGTAAAAAAAGGTGAAATTCTCCCCTACCCACTTGGAATTCGATTCTGAGTCTCACTATAGCCATATCGGAGCAAAATGGACAATGGGTGGGCCGAAAACCACAAGTAAAGCTCGCCGGAGCTGCCGCAGCCGAAACTCTAAAATCCCTCTGACGAGTCCCTTTTTGTTTATAGTTTCACACAATTTTTCAATAATTATATTTACCGTCTTTTTCTGTGCAGGTTAACCAAAAAAAAAATTCAACCGCGAAGGAGAATCGACGGAGCCACTGCACCCAGAGACTCGCTGTCAGTAGGTTTGGTTTCTTGTAATTTCTGGCCAACTGAGGCCCCCTATTGTGTTTTTCTGCAAGAATAAGTGTAACTGGACAAAACGAGGCAAACCGCCACTATGAGCGCAAAGCCGACACTGGAGCACGGCGGTGCCGCCGCACTAGAACCTTAAAATTGGTCGGAAAGGATTTTTAACACCGATTTTAGAATTTTGGGGTATTTATAGGTACGTGACGAGTATTTTGGATTCTCGTAAGAAAAATTCAAAAAATTCGGGACCCGTTTGGAGGCACAGTAGATAGTACAATATTTCGAAACATCGGTTCAGGTAATGATTCCTCACCCTATTCTCGATTACAGTAAATTGAAGATTAATGTGTGTCTTATGAAAAAATTAGAAAAATCCTAAAAATATTACAGATCACCAATGGAGGCAGAACCAGTTAGTTCACATTTGTCCTGATTCCCTATTTATTTTCCTATACTAGCTATATTTGCTTACTATTATACTATGTGTAATTGAATTAATAGTTTTTATAATCTTCTCAGTTATTTGGTTATTTGGTTTCTCCTGTATTGTTTATTCGGTATTCTAGTTATTGGTTATTTGGTTATGCTAAACTATATCGCTTGTTTAAGTGCCATTTGAATTAATCTGTGAATATAAAATGAGATGTTAGTATACTTTAGTGATTATTTGGATGATGAGAGTTTAAATAAATGAAAGCTTACTAGGCATTCTGGGAAAGGATGGACAGAACAGGTACATAGAGAACTCTACCGTGGACATTACCTCAGTCGGATGAGGTTGAAAAGTTCCATACCAGAAAGATTTTGGGAGATATGGTTAATTCTCATACCGGACGAGGTATCGAGATGATGGTGTTATTGGCGCCCATTACCGAACGGGGTACGGGAACGACCGGATTAATTGTCAAATCTTAATATTGGGTTCACGAATAGATGGATATTTATATAGACCCCCAAATATCCTAATAAGTAGGTTAAAAAGGAAGGATTATTGACCCTATGCATGAAATTGAAATGTTATTTGGTTAATTGTCTTCATAAGTTGATTTTGAAAAAAACTGTAACAGCAAGTATCGAATAAAAAATTTTAAAGATATATATATTTACTTAAAACAAAGACTCCATTAGTTATTTTCTGATTTTTACCAACATTTAGTTTTTCGTATTAGTGATTAATGTGATATTCTTACTGGATTAGCGTAACTCACAATTTTCTTAACCATTTTAGATAAAGAAGATCAAGATCCATATCCCGATTAGCAAGAGGGTTGTGAATAATCAATCTCCCGGACTTCCTTTAAGTGCTAGTGAAGGTTGTATTAGTATAGTTATTTATTTATTTTTCTTTAATTATTGTTTGTGTTTTATGAACCACATAGAATGGATATTTCCGTAACCCTATTGGACAATTCAATTTATTGTGTAAGTGATGTAAATCCTAACATTATTATTCACTTTTATATTAAATTATAAATTTATTTCATTTAAGGTTCCGAGCTTCTACAACTTGTTATCACCACTCTTACTCAAGCTCTTACTGATCAATTAACACTTTTTTTGGACTATTGTGATGATATAACTTAGGTCTATCTTATTAGAAATAAGAGTTTGTAGGAATCTACTGAACTATTTAGGGGAGATAAGTTCGGTTTAGTCAATTAATTTTCTAATTTGATTGACACGGTTCAATTTATTTGGTTAATTAGTTGGTGCAGTTTGCCAATCCGGTGAATTAAACTTATTATTATTATTTTATTTTATAGCTTTATGTATAAACTATGATTATATATGTTATAATATATATAATTTAATAATAAAATCCCAAATTCTTTCCCCTTCCCCCTTCCACTAACCTTTTAGTTGAACCAAAGGTCCAAAACTACTCATTCTCTTCACTTGCTACAAGACTCAAAGTTCTCTAAGTTCTCTTCTCTCATCTTTGTGATTGTCTCTCTCATCTCAAGTCAAGTCTCTCTTTAAACTCATGTGATCTCTATTCACGGTCACCTTTAATCCCCCACAACATCACTCTCAATTTGAGTCTTTAAGTTATTTGAATTTTCTCATTTACAACTGAAAAAAGATTTTTTGAAAATCAGTTAAATGATATTTGAAAAGTCAAGAAAAAATTGTCTAAGACATCTCAAAATATTTTGAGAACTAAATTATGAGAATTTTTATCTAAAAAATGTGACTATCCATGTGTAACACATTGTGCCTACACCTTCAAATTATATTGGAAGCTAACAGAATTTAAAAAGACGAGAAAAACAGTCATTTAAGAGCATTAGTGCTTTCACCTATCTAGACTTGTATCTAATGGATAATTTCGGACAAGTGCTTTTAAATATTGTATACCACTTCATTTAATATAAGATTTTAAACATTTAAAGTTTAAAACTCATATATCTTTTTGCTTTTCTTGAGCATCATATTTTATTTCTTGAGTTTCATGTTGTACATCCACTATTTAGATATAGAAAAATATTAAGCTTAATTCTTATATTCCTCTTTGGAAGTTATAAGAAATGAGTGAGAATTTTTTTGGACTAAAAGTATTGAAGGAACGCTTATGAGAAAGATGTACCTTGTTGGCTTTTAGTAAAACAACCTCTGAGAAAGGTGCAATTTACCAACCTTATGTAACCTAAACATTGTGTGTATTTTATCGACTTACAGAAAAGCAAGTGTGGTAAGAGATGTAACTTATCGACATCAAGGAAAACAAGCATTTTGAAAGGTACAACTTGTTAACTTTATGTAAATAAACATTTTGAAATGTGTAACTTGTTGACCTTGGGTAAAATAAGCAAGTGTAAGTGATGAGTCTATAATGAAATTCTCAAATGGTGACTTGAGGAAAGAACATGGACATGAATTAGGTTGAACTTCTATAAATGATATTCACATCTTCTCTCCATTATTCTTTCTTTAATTGATTTTGAGTTGAATTAATTATGATTAAAGTGCGTTAATTAAAGCTGAAATTAACATTTTGTTGATATGTCGAAATTAGTTAATTATAGTTAAAATAGATTAATAAAATTTGAGGTTAATATTTTCTAATTCACATTTTTTTTGACAAAACTCATTTAGAATCAACTTGTTTTGAGTTTAAAGTTGTGAGATTATTAGATTACGCTTAAATTATAATAAATTTAATAAACCAAATTCACTCCCCTCATATGCTACTTTAACTATTGGGTTAGGCTTAAAATCGATCAATAAGTATTTAAGTGCTAACTTCTAACTTAAATTGATTAGTAACGACCCTTTTAAATTTCTTGAAATCTCATATTTTATTTTAGTAAAACCTTATTGTATTACATCATTCGGATTGTGACGATAATGTCTAACTTATGTTAGTCATTTAATTATGAATCTTTATAAACTATGTTTAAGTCTTATCATTATAAACTCATTGTGGTATTTTTTTTTTGTTTTTACGGATTAATACATATTTAGTATTAAAAATTTGTAATAGCGCGGTAAAATTAAATACTTGTTTCTTATTATTAAAATAATTCATTATAATTCATTTGGAAAGAAACATCATAATGTCTACAATGCATTTAATATAATTGGCTTCGAGGAACATAATATTAGCAACATAAATATCATATTCCATATGTTAAATTTTATTTTTGGGAAGTCACACACATTAGTGTCATCCATTTGTTTCAATTACTATTGCATCATAGCAAATTTCATATTTTTTACTTTATATTTATATGTTTGAAATATTTAATTTCTGCCTCCCAATTGAACATATAAGGATAAGTTTAACAATTAATTATTTAGTAAAATTATAATGTACGTGCTTAATTGTTGTTTTGATAAAAAATTTATACAATTTAATCTGTATATATATATATATCATAAAATAATTATATTTTCATATTTACCGTTTATGATTTAATTTAAAATGATTATATTATTATTTTTTTTAAAAAATAATATTCATTTTATATTATACATGATTAATGATTAATCTTTTTTAACTACGTGCTAAATGATTAATAGAATTTACTGAACATTATTCTAAATGTTAAATGTGTGAAAATCCAAATTGCCTCCTCTTAGGAATGACTTTAATCAATTCGGTTTTTAATAATTTGAGTTATAGCATAAATTAAAAGTAGCTTTATTACCACGCTCATTCCAGCTCTGTATTATTGTATTTTTGAAATGACTAAATTACCCTTGTATTTCCTGACCATCTGTTTCAGATTTCGTGTCCTTAATCGTAAATTCATATCCTTCCTGACCTGTTTTGCCTTTTGAGCGATCTCCGTAGTTGTCTCCTTCTTTCTTACCCCCGCTTTCCCTCCCCCAATTTTAAACCTCTCCTCTCTCGCTGTCTCAGTAGAAAAGAAAGTAGTCCCCGAGCCGGGAGAGCTCAAACAGAGGAAACACAGAACGGAAAATTGAAAATCAAGGAGGAGGATATAGAAACGGAAAGGGGGTTTCAACAAGATGAGGAGATTTTTTAGTAGGGGAAAAGAATCTGATGGTTCACCAGAATCCTTGCCTCATTTTTCCCCGTCTACGGTGCCGCAGTCGTCACCGGTGACGGGACCGGCGAGGCCGATTCGGTTGGTGTATTATGACGAGAAGGGGAAGTTCAGGATGGATCCAGAGGCAGTGGCCGCTCTTCAGCTTGTCAAGGAACCAATAGGCGTAGTCTCCGTGTGTGGTCGTGCAAGGCAAGGAAAGAGCTTTATCTTAAATCAGGTGACTGGTTCCCATTTTTTGGAATTTTTTATAGCTGTAGTTATCTCGATAGTGTATAATTTGTGTGTAACTTTTGATTGTTTTATTTGTGAGATTTTGAGGTCTAGGGTTCGTAATTGTGGAACTAGTTAGGTTTTGTAGGAAATTTGAAGAGTTTTGTTCGTTTAGGGTGTGAAAGCTCTGAGAAATGTTCTGGATATGCTAATTTAGGGGGATAGTTAAGCTTTTATGCTATTACGACATTACTTTTAGGATTATTACTCAAGTATTTTATGGGAAAAGGATATATAAAACTGCCTGATCCCGTCGTGCAGAGCTAATTACAAAATGATGCTCGTTAGGTGTAGAGAACTTGACTATTCGAGGTTGGCAAGGGTGATTTAGATGATTACTCTCTTAATCACGAGTTTGTTATCAGTAAAATTGTTAAGAGTTATAGTGTTGCCAGTTCTTGATTACTAGAATGGGTTATAATGTTGTTAGTTAATAGAATGGGTTGTGATAGTAATATCTAGATAGGCTATAGGATTTTGAGGATATGATTTAAACACCAGAAGCTACAGATTTATGAAATGGTTACTCTCTTTTTTTTTTTTATTAAGTTTCTTTCTTCTAAACCCTCTTTATAACTTCTCTTCTCTGATTGTTTTCTTATTGTCTTCTTATTCCCCTTTCTGTTCTATTCTTGTAAATCAGCCCATACAAGTAGTATAACTTCATCATTTCTGGCTCCTTCCTTGATTGAATTTCCAAATCCTTCTCTTCTCTCTTCCCTTTTGTATTCCTATAAATCAGTCCACGGCAGACGGATGAGATCTTGATGAAGTTTTATTCAGAGGTGATATGCCAGAAAGTGAAAGAAGTGCCGTGTTATGGCTCTAGCTTAGCTAAAATTATTATGAATCACAAGGATGGAAAGGTTGGCTGGCATGTGTGAAAAACAAAACAGTTTCTAATAGAATTAGTGTTTTCTAATATAGGTCTGGCGATTTAGGACAAATTAATGTTAGTTTGCCTATTTAGGGATTTTAGTATGAAATTTAGAAGTATCACATCTAAGAATTCTTAAGTTTCATACTTAAGGGCTTGATACATCATATAACCAGAAACATTATGAATTATTCTCAAGAAACTTTTATTGAATAATTAGCCTCCTTTCAAAAGTGTGATTAGTTGGTAGTGATTTCTAAGTAACCTCTCCAAATGGGATTAAACTACGAGATATTAATACTAATACTAATAGGAATAGGAACATGAATTCTAAATACTGAAAATAATAAAATCTTAAAATTAGTAAAATTCATAATAATAGACTTCCTAAATAGGTTTATAATTAAAAAAAATTATAATTTCTAATATATTCAGAAACTATAAATTGGCTTGAGAAAACTCGTCCAAGAGTTTTGAAATGGTGAATGGTGTAACTTTGGTATTCAAGCTCTCTAATAAAAACTTTAGTCATTCTCTTCAATAGCAAAAATAATAGAAACACGCAATTGGTGGCAGTTGGAAATCCCGTTTGCAAGATGAATCAACATATTGACAAATTTGTACTATTAAGTTGATACTTGAGTTGAACATAACTAGATTCAATTGTTGGCTTAGGTCCATTCTTGCACTTGACTTCTACACATACTTCTTTAATTGGAGGATCTTAACTCCAATGACCTCCCTATCTTTCTTCTTGATGTGAGCTCTTTTGTTTTTTCTTTTTTTTTTTTTTTGTTTTCTTTTGTTTTGTTTTGTTTTTTGTTTTGTTTTGTTTTCTGTTTTTTTTTTTTTTTTCTTGAAAGGAAAAGTATAGTATTCATTAATTCTCAAGCACCAAGAAGGGTGCCACAATGTGCAAAAATATTTACATATTTATTATGATATCAATAAGGTCCTAAAAATCCTCCATAAAATAATGAGGATTACCCATAATAAAAAAAAATTTAGGTTCTAGAATCATCTGCCTCTAACACTAATAGAATCATCTTCCACCCCTTAAAACCTCTCTTGTTTCTCTATTTCCACATCAACAAAAAAATTATAGGTAAGGAATGAGGCCCGCCTATTTCTTCCCACCACTAGTACCCTTTCGGGCCTAGATCTCATCCATTACCGAACTAGTCACAGCTCAGTTAATTCCCAATAGTCCGTTAGTCATAGTCCATAACTTATACACAAAAGGATACCAAAGCATGATATAATTATAAGCCTCCGCCTCCTTTTTGCACAGAAAACAACTGTTCCCTATAATCTTTCCATTTCTCATCAGTTTGTCAATAGTTAGGATACATTAACGCCTGACCTCCCCACGCAAAGAAAGCAGTTATGGGTGGAGCATTAACCTTCTAGATTTGCCGAAGCTAGAACCTGAATTTTGTGGTATCATTCTTAACCAAATAATTATAGAAAGACCTGACCGTAAAGGGAACCGTGGCATTGGGACTTCATTTTGGTTGGTCATTACTCCTGTTTAAAGGTACAAAGAAAAATTGTATAAAGAAACTCATATTCATTAATCTCCCAATCATTGAGATTCCTCAACACATTCACGTTTTACTCACTAACCTTCCCAATATCTTTGAATTACTCATATTCCGCGATATTCTTATGTTGTGCAATGGCATAAATTTGAGAAAACTATCTCTGAGTACTTCCCCTCTAAGCCAAAGGTTTTGCCAAAAGCTGATTCTATCCCCCGTGTCTACACTCCAATGTGATTCTATCCCCCCTGCCTGCACTCCGATGTGAGCTCCTTTTTACTTTGATGTTTTTGAAATTTTGTTGTAGTTGCAGGTTTCAAAACTACAATTATCCCAATTGAGAACAATTGTCCGTTTAGGCAAGTCTAGAAGGTTGATGCCTCTTTCAAGGTGGCTTTTTTTGCCTGGAAAGCAGGTTGTAGATGCATTTTGAGCATTGATAAGCTGATGAGAAGGGGGAAGATCATGATAAAGTGCTGTTGTTTATGTAATAGAGCGGAGGAGACTTGTGACCATATTCTACTTTGGTGTCCCATTAGTTTATAGTCTATGGCCTATGAGATTCTAGAATTCAGTTGGGTTAAGGCTGGTATTGTAAGGGATGAGATATGGCCGTGGACGGGTATTATTGGTTGGGAAAAACATTTGGGGTTTATTCCCCATTCAATTTTTCGGGTAATGTGGAAAGAAAGAAATAGAAGAGTTTATGATAAAATGGAAGAGGGTATTGGTAAGATTCGACTTAGATGATTTCAGACCCTAGGTGTTTTGGTTATGGGTCAACTGTTGTACTTCATGGAGAATTTAGGAGAACTAATCGATATCCTTATTAATATGTAAATCAATTTGTTCATGGGTTTGCACCCTCTTGATATTTGTATTTAGCGACACACTTTATATTTTTTATTTCAAAAAGAAAAATAGTGCTTCAAGATATTTTCCTACATAACAATCATGACTCTTGTCACTGTTGCTATGTTGCTGTAAAAATATTTCAGTTTATCTACTGCATTTCAAACTAACATCTCTACCTGTGTCTCCATGTTGTAGCTTCTTGGGAAGAGTAGTGGATTTCAGGTAGCATCAACTCATCGACCATGTACAAAGGGGCTTTGGTTGTGGAGTGCACCTTTGAAGACAACTGCTCTTGATGGAACTGAATACAATCTTTTATTGTTAGACAGTGAAGGAATAGATGCATATGATCAAACGGTTTGTTTTTTGATTTTATTTATCTTGATTGAAGTTGTTTAAAAACAAAAAAAATTTATCTTGATTGAAGAATTTATGCCAATGAATCATTTAATACTTATTTCAAATAATTTAAATTCTAATGCTCAATTTGCCCTACATTACTATCTCTACAGTCTTCTAGATATCTTTTTGTGTAAATTTTTCGACATGTGACTATGGAATCTCACTCTTATCTCTTTCCCTGACAGGGTACATATAGCACTCAGATATTTTCATTAGCTGTCCTGTTATCTAGCATGTTTATTTACAACCAGGTTAGTACAATCTTTTCTGAGATCTTGATCCTCCCAAAAATTTATGGTTGCCTTTTCTGTCTCCTTTAAAGGTAAAAAGTACAATGTTTTCAGTTTTGCTCTTTTTTTTTCCTTGTGGACTTGACCCTTGTTTCCTTATCCATGTTGTATTATTAGATGGGAGGTATAGATGAAGCTGCTCTTGATCGACTTTCTCTTGTCACCCAAATGACAAAGCATATTCGCGTAAAAGCCTCTGGAGGAAGGAGTTCAGCCTCTGAACTTGGGCAGTTTTCCCCCATCTTTATTTGGCTATTAAGGGTAATTTCTGAACTAATTGTTCTTGTTCTTCATTAGAGAGGCATTGCTGGAATACATATTATCTTGGAAGCATAAGTATGTTACAAAACCTACTTGCAGGACTTTTATTTGGATTTGGTGGAAGAGAATCGGAAGATAACTCCCCGTGACTATCTAGAGCTTGCTTTAAGGCCAGTTCAAGGTAGTGGAAGAGATATAGCTTCCAAAAATGAGGTAACATTTATAATTAGTTTGGTTCTCTCTCTAATTATTTCGGAGACAATGACTATAATCTATATATGTACATTAAATGGTGTACAAATTGGTGAATGGTGGATCTGTGCAAATAGCAAGATGACATTTGCTTCACGTTTTCTTCTCCTCCATATGAACAGTCTATTATTCTCCTCATATTTTCTTTCACCTCACTTTTGCTTTTCTTCCTCGCTTTTCTACTTGATTTGTGTCAACACTTTTTTTTTTCTAAAGAAAGCTCCAAAAGTCCTCCTTTAAACTTTTATTACATAAAATTAACAAATCTATATTTGGTTTTTTCAATTTATTATTTGTCTTCCTTTTTTACTAAATAAAAGTAGTATCTCTCTTCTCTCTCTCTCTCTCTCTCTCTCCTCTCTCTTTGTGGTCAATTATGTCTTTTCTGCTTGCACTTCCTTCAATCTTATTTTTCCTTTTCCTTCTTTGGTTGATCACGGTTTTTCCCTTGATGAAATTTCTGAATTGTCTGTTCTATGATCAAGGTAAATTTAATGTTTTCTTACTTAAAGAAAGAAGTTAAAACTTCACACTTTGCCTTTTATTTTTCTCGCTTAAGGTCAAATTACTGATTTCTTTGTTTTTTTTGATGATGCCAAGTCACTGTATTTTCTTCACCATTTTTTTTATCTTTTATTTTTCTTTTCATTTTCTTTTTGTTGAGCTTGTTTTTTTTTTTGAAATATTTGTTGAACTTGTTATTTTGCTTTTTCTTTCCTGATTTTTTACGAAATAAAATTAGTAATCATTATTCTTCCTGTTAGATAAAATAGAACTACAATTTTGCTTGTATCTACTCTTTTCTTTTATCATCTTTTGATTAATATTGTTATTTTCTGCTGGTTAATGAAATTTCTGGTTTCTTGTTTTTTTCTTTTCTCTTTTGGTGAAAGAGAATTACTTGTTCACTCTTTTCTCTTTCTGGTTTCCTGTTTTTTTTTTTAACTCTTTTATGGCTAACAAACTATTTTCGTCTCTTAATAAAATTACCATCTTGCTCTCCCAATTTGTTCTTTCTTTTCATCAAGTTAAGTTGCCTACGGATCTGTATTTCTTTTTTTTTTTGTTAAAATAAATATCTTAGTTTACCTTTTTAGTTGTATACTAAAATGACTAATTTTTTCTTTCTTCCATGCATAAGGGCTTACTAATAATAAATTTCTTTTTTCTTTCTCTTCAAATAAAATTATGAGATTATCTGCTTTCTTTTTCTTTTTCCTTTTAATTTTTGGAGGGAGTGGGGGGAGGTGGGGTTGGGAGAAGGGGAAGGGAAGGGATTCTCAAATATGATTTTTGTCATCACTTCCTTTTTTTTTTTTACTCTGCTCCAGTATTGTGCACTGTTTTTTTGATTAAATAAAATTTTTATTGTTTTTTTCAAAGTGAAATTTTTATTTTTTATTACTTTTTATGTTATCGGTGAACGTGTAATTTTTATTTTTTGTTTCAATTCTTCGATTTCTTCTGTTTTTTTATTGAAATGCAAATTATTGCTGTCGGAGTAAATGAGTTAAATTACCAATTTATCATTCATTCCTCAACTTTTTGTTATTTTTAATTTTCATCCCATAGCGTTACATGAGTTTAGACATTGTTTGCTATAAACTGCCATGTTTATGACCTAGGTTTCTAGGTTTCTCTTATGGGAACTATTAAGTAACAGATGAATTTTTTATTTCCTGTGTAAGAGATGCTAACAACATAATAACAATGATTGATAGATCCGAGACTCCATTCGAGCGTTATTCCCAGATAGAGAATGTTTCACCCTTGTTAGGCCTTTGAACAATGAAAATGATCTCCAACGGCTCGATCAGATTTCGGTTAGTGTGCTCTCTCTTTCTCTATCTATTGTAGATTCCTTATCTTTGTTTTACACTGTAGTATGTGACGCTCAATTCCATACGTTTGCTATGCAGCTGCAGAAATTAAGACCTGAATTTAGATCCGGGTTGGATGCATTGACTAAGTTTGTTTTTGAGAGAACAAGACCCAAGCAAGTTGGGGCTACTATCATGACTGGTCCTGTTCTTGTTGGTGTCACCCAGTCTTACCTTGATGCCCTTAATAATGGTGCTGTGCCTTCAATAACTTCATCGTGGCAGGTTGGTGTTTATTTATACCATGAATTTTTTTTAAATTGATTACTCATTACCTGATATTTATGATCTATACGACACATACTGCTACATTCAGGGTATTCGTGCAAAGGATTTAAAAACCCTTCTATTTGCATGTGTTCCATGTACTTCCAGGAATGGGGATAAGGAGGAACATTGTGCATAAAGTTTCTTATTGTATTTCACATATACTTAATTTGTAAAGCATAACTGGAGAGGAGAAACGACCATCCAAGGAAATCTTGAAGGAATAGTTTACCAGACATTTTTAGGCCTGAAAACATATTTTAATATTCAAAATTTTCTTGCAGAGTGTTGAAGAAGCTGAGTGCCGAAAAGCATATGATTCGGCTGCTGAGTTTTATATGTGTGGATTTGACCGTAGGAAGCCACCCGAGGAAGTAAGTGATCCTTTTGCTCTTACTCTTGATGATTTAATCATTTCCTAATGCTGCTGGTTTTAGGTTGCATTGAGGGAAGCACATGAAGAAGCAGTTCAAAAATCATTGGCCGTGTATAATGCTGCTGCTGTAGGAGTTGGTTCGGCAAGGAAGAAATATGAGGAGCTTCTCCATAAATTCTTCAGGAAGGCATTTGAGGTAGTGGAACTTTGATGTTGTCTGCTCTACTCATATTAGCTTTTCTTTTTGTTTTTTCTCTTGTCTCTCCTAAGCTATTTAATCAGTTTGGGTCTTTAGAGCAGAACCTCAGATTAATGAAACTAGAAAATGGAAATTAACGGGGAAGAAGCTGCAAATCCATGGATTTGAAAAAGTAAAGTTACATTCTAGTAAGAACTGTTTTGATAAAAGCAGTCATATCTGGTCTAATCCAGTTTCAGTTGGATTTACTTTGATCAAGATATTGACTAGTTCAACCATACGCTTTTCTTTTTCTAGTTATATCTGGTATTACCTGATTTTGTTTGGCTGTGTTCTGATACACTATTAATACTGAAGTACAGTGTTGTAGGTGTTGATGGACTCAGCTGGTTGACAGAACAATTGTACTCTTACTGCTTTAATCTAATTAATTTAATGCCAATAGGAAGTTACAACCATGTCTCCATTTTTTAATCTATTCTTCATCCAAAGAGATAAAGGCATTGATATCAATAATTAAGGGTGAAGTTATAATATCGTTGAGTTCTTATAAACCATGTGCTTAATTGAAATGGAGAAATGAAATTGGAATGTTGCGGCGTACTTTTACGGAATAAACACAAAGATTATATCAATAATTGGGAATAAAACTGGAACATCATTGAGTTCCCTTTAAACCCAAAGTCTGTGAAAGAATTGGGGGAGGAGTCATCGTTCTCTCCCTAAAACTATATGTTTCTTGTTATGCATTGTTGGAATTTTGCCACTTTGTACACATCGACACCCTTGAAAACTACAATTTGAAAAATTTTGTACATTGAATTATTTCTCAATCTGCTTTTCTTTATAAGGTGAGACAACCTTAATCAACTCCAAAAATATGTCATTTAATTTTTATATCATGTAACTGATGATCCAATTTCCTGATTATGCATTTATTGGAAGCATTGAACACAGAATGATATTTGTCTGCTTGGTCATTGATGCAGGATTATAAGAGAAATGCATATATGGAGGCAGATTTGCAATGTTCAGTTGCTGTGCAGAGCATGGAAAAGAGACTGAGAGCAGCTTGTCATGCTTCTGATGCAAATATAGATAAGGTTGTGAAGGTAAG